CAACAGAGAGCCAGGATGGCTCCCTCTGAGTCACCAGCGTGAGGGAGCTGCCCCGTTGCTGGCAAGGCCAGACCAGCGTCATGAAAGCCGCCAAGCACCGATGATCAAAAGAGAACATCCTTGGCCTCTCCCTCACTCTGAATCCAGTGCCTCCCGGATTGGAAGGGTTTCCAAACCCTGTGTCACCAGGGTCCTGGGAGGGACTGCAGATGTTTAGGTAGTGAAGGGGGCACCAGGCCAGCATGAGACCTAGGACACAATGCAGAGAAGGCAGGCGTGACCGCCAAGGGCTACGCCAGGACCAAAGCTAAAAGTCGCCCATCTGTGGATGGAAAGGGCTTCACTAACACGGCAGTGTAGCAGACACCGTCAGGCTCGCCAGTGAGCCTGGGGCTCCCACTGATGATGGCCCACTGCATACCACCGACCTGCGCCAGGGCTCCCGTGCTGGCCATTTGAGCCTCTTCAGAAGAACACCCGAGCAAGGACAGACCGGGGACCAAGGAGCCAGCATCCCTGCCTCGCAGGGTGACAGCTCTGGGTTGCCCTTCCTGGCCTCTTACCAGTCCCCTAGGTTGAGCCCCGCCTGGCTACAGCAACGGCCTGCTCTTTGATGCTGCAGTGGGTTCCCTCCTCCCTCCAGGCTCCACTACCCACAAGCCTTTGCAGCTTCCCAGGGTTCATAGCATGCTCACCTTCTGCTCAAACTCTCATCACAGTCTGCTCCTAAGACATTCACCAAAGCAGGCACTGAGGAGAGCTGCTCTCCGTATCTGTGGGCAGCATGGATTCAGCCAGCCTCGGATCAAAACCATTTGGGGAAAAGAACTCATCTGTATTGAACGTGTACAGTCTGTTTTCATTGTCATTCCCTAAACAATTCAGTAACACAACTATTTACAAGCATCTACATTGTATCAAGTACTTAAAGCAATCTGGAGGTGATGTTTAAAGTATATAAAAGGATTCGTAGGGGGGATTTGGCTCAGTGGTTCCGATGCCTGCCTCACAACCACAAGGTCCCGAGTTCAATCCCTGGTACCAAAAAATAATAATAATAAAAATAAAAATATGTTGTGAATTATTTTTTTATAAAGGACGTGTATAGGTTATATGCAAATGCTGTGTCATTTGGGACCTGAACATCTGAAAATTTTGGAGTCTGTGTGGGTCCTGGAATCAATTCCCGCAGCTACTAAGAGGAACCGTGCTAGTGTCCTGTTGCTCTGTAACAAGTTATCACAAACTCAGAGCGCAAATCAGCACAAGCGCCTTACAGTGTCCGGGGATTGGGGTCCATGGGGCAGGTGGGTCCTCTGAACAGGGCCTCCCATGCTGACCAGCCTGGGCCATTGCTGTCCCTTCCTTCAAGGTCATCGGGAGAGGACTGCAGATGACTGCTCCCAATGGGCATGGTCCTCTGCCACCAGCCAGAGATGATCCTTTGCTTTAAGAGGGCTCTTGAAGGCGGGCATAGGGTGCACACAGTAATCCCAGCACTCAGGACGCTAAGGCAGGATCGTCTCAAGTTCAAGGCCAGCCTGGGCTACATAGTAAGCTTAAAGGCCGACTTAAATGGCATAGGGAGACCCTGTCTCAAACAAACAAACAAACCAACAGAATGAAAGGACTCCTGTGATTCGAGGAGGCACACAATTCAGCTAATTTGGAACTGTAATAAGGTCTGAAAAATTCCATCATAGCACTGCCTAGATTAGGGTTTGATAGAACAATCGAGCAAAGGCGTGTGTGCAGTGGAGGCCAGTTGAACCCTGGAGCCACCTTAGCATCCTGCTTCACACACTCAGACTGTCTGGGGAGTAGAAACAGCATGGTCTTCAGGACCAGAGGAACAGCTGAGCATCACAGACCAAGTGGTTTAATAGCTCATTTGTTAGTAAGCACTATGCTTATGGCACCTAATGCTAAAAGTGACCTTGCTGATGAAGAGTAGAAGTATCAAATGATCCCTAAATTAAGAGAAAAAATGGCAGGATATTAAGTGAGCAGCAAACTTTTGGAGGAATCACTTTAGTAATAGAATCTGGTGGCATCAGATATAGTTGTCCTTTGGTATCCAAGCAGGATTTGTCCCAGAACCCCCTAGATACCAATTCTGCAGCTGCTTACATTCTCCTGTACACTTTAAATTTTCTCTAGATGACTTATAATACCTAATACAATGTAGATGTTATGTATACTTGTTATGCTGTACAGTTTAGGGAATAAAGACAAGGTAACAGCCTTTGCATGTCAGTACAGATGCAACATTTTTATTGTTTTTGGACTTTTTGATGCATGATTGGTTGAATTCACAGATGTAGAATCCACAGATATAGTGGACCAACTGTAAAAAACAGTTTAACAAAATTAACCTAGCATCACATACTAAAATGATGCCGACCACTCCTGTTTTGTACTGCATGAAAATGACTGGTTATAGAAAAAGAGTTTCATTTCTACATAGTCAAATGAAACATTTCTGGGATTTAGCTGGGAAACAAAGGTGAGAACCATAAGTATGAGGGAGAATTTGAGGTTTCTTTGGAAGAACCCTGGGCACACAAACAAGGGAGGTCCCGGGAGACTGGATTTTTCTCATGATTTAAATCCTCTAGGTCCAATAAACTTACCTTTAAAAAATGGACCTCAATATTCTTTCCTAGCTAGTGAGGTGCTCCATACCCTGAGCGCATTTCTATCTCAAGGACGGGAGTGCTGCTCGCTGCCTGCCTGCAGTGTTGGCTCTGGAGAAAGGAGTTTAGAAGATGCTGGAGGTGGGCAGGGTGGGGCTGTTTCTACCTCCGAAGCTAAAATCAGGCAGTGTGGCGGGTGGGGCTCTGGGGGGCCTGGACTCGCTGGGAAGGGAGCTGCATCCAAAGCAGAGGAGGCCGAGTTCCTGAACCAGACCCCAGGGCGTGGCTCTCCCCCTCCCTGTGCCCCTCCGCTTACACCTATTTGCTCCAAGGCTCTCCTGGCCTGGTTCAGCAGAAGGTATTAGCTTTAGGCTCTGAACAACCTGATTGGCTTTCTGACTATTGAGAGGAAAATGTTGATGTCAATCTCTCAGTAATTGCTGTTTCCCTTAAAAGTGAAACAGAACAGCTCTAGGGCTCGGGAGCTTCTGGGAGAAATGACCAGCGCTTTTTCCATGCTGGCCTGGCCAGATGCAGAGCGATGAGGCTAGCTCCACCTAAACTCCTTGGCAACCCTAGTGGAGCGTGAAAAAGGTCTATGTTCGGAAAATGGGTGACAAGGGAGCTGGGAAGGTGGAAAGTGGCGGGAACAGGCTCTCTGGTGTTCCTGGAACCTCCCAAAGCTGGCCAGGCTGCTGGGGGGAGGGGTTCTGGGGCCATGAAGGGCGTCCCCCACCTGACCTGCAGGCCCTGGCGTTTGGGTGGGAGAAAGAGGATTCAACCCGTGTCCCGGCGCCTCGTTGAGGAGTGTGCTGCTTGTTCATGGCTGCAGCGCTACCAGTCCTTGCTGTGGACAACCTCATGGTCCAGGGTGAGAATTATAATAGGCAGATGTGCACACAGTAGGTTGGGCACAGGGCAGGGAGCAGCTCTGCCTCCTGGGAATGTCACAGAGAAAGTGATCATGTTAACTTTCTGCACTGTAACAAAATGCCTAGGATGAACAACTGACAAAAAGGAAAGGTTTGTTTGGCTCACAGTTCCGGAGGTTTCAGCCCATGGTTGGCTGGCTCACTACTTTGGGGCCCGACAGGGTGGCTCAAGCACATGGCCAAGGAAGCTGTTCCTCTCCTGGCAGCCAGGAAGTGAAAGAGAGAGGAAGACAGGGGCTGGGGTCCCGCAATCCCCTTCAAGGCCACACCCCCAATGACCTCACTTCCTCCCACCAGGTGCTACCTTCCAAAGGTTCCATCACCTCCCAGTAGCACCGCAGGCTGGGAACCAAGCTTTTAACTCATGGGAATTTAAGGGGCATTTCAGATGCAAACTGTAGGAAGCGACATTGGAACTGAGCACTGATTTATGGAGAAGAGCCCCAGAGGGAAGAAGGGAGGGCAGGGAGGGAGGGAAGGAAATTATACCAATATGTACCTAAGATTTACATAATGCTATAGGGCAGGTGGTACTGTATTGCTTTCACATATTAGTGTATCCAGTCCTGTGACAAGTGCACGGGGTAGGTACAGTTGTCCTTTGGTATCAACAGGAAACTGGCTCCAAGACCCATGTGAACACACAAATTCCTGGGTGCTCTAGTGACCTAAAAATGCCAGAGTCTTTGCATAGAACCTACATACATGCTCCTGTGCATCTTACATCATCTCCAGATGTTTTGCAATGCCTAATACAATGTAAATACTACATGTGCCATGCTTTCTCTTTCAGTACTGGGAACTGAACCCAGGCCCTTCACACCGAACTACATCCTTACCCCTTTTTATTTATTTTAATTTGAGATAGGGTCTCACTAAGTCATCAAGTTGCCGAGGACGGGCTTGAATTTAGAGTCCTCCTGCCTCTACCTCCCAGAGTGCTGGGATTATAGCCATGGACCCATAAACCTAACTTAAATTTTTAAATCTTACCATCAGAAAATATGTTTATAAAATACATAGCTATATAATTTATACATATGTGTATATATATATATATGGAGTACAGCTTAATAAGAATTTGACATATGATAGAAAATAGTACCTTTGGGCTGGGGATTTACCTCAGTGACATTGTGCCTGCCTCGCAAGTGCAAGGTCCTGAGTTCGATTCCCAGTACCAGAAAAGAAAAAAAGTATCTTTAGCTTTATAAGGTCCAGGCTGGGATTTTTAATAAAAATAGACATGTCACATTCTGGAAGGTGGCTGAAAAAATAAAAATTTATTCCAAATTATTATTGTCACCTGATACAACGAATTATAAATTTTGGTGGAGTTGACATTCTGAAAATAGATTAAATGGAGATTCAGGCTTGTACTTAGGTAATCTCTTTAGCAAAGAAGCGGCTTCAAGGGTTTGAACACAATTCCTCATTTTCACAGATGCTTTATTAAGAAGGAGCAGGCCAGGCTTCATCGGATGGGTTTCATGGGGAAGAGAATCTGGGTGTAGTAGTTTGGGTTTGCAAGGGAATAGATGTAATACAGGACACATAATTTACAGAATTATTTTATAATATTCACCCAAAGAGTCAAATGCAGAGGAGTGCAAGAGATCTGTCCACATGCTAGAGACCTGAAGAATCCAGCCGAGGGCCTGGGTCCCAGGGCAATGGCCCTCAAAAGTCCAGCTGAAGGCTGAGAGCCCAAGCAATGTCCTCCCTGAGTCCAGCCAGAGGTCTGGAGCCCACAGCAGTGTCTAATGCTTGTACGTACTGAGGATCTGCACTGGGAAGGCCCAAAGGCCGGTGGTAGAAGCTAGAAATTCTGTGCCAGGGGGCTGAAGGCTCTGTGCACCAGGCTGAGAGATCCACACTGGAGCCAGGAAGCGATGCCCAAGTCAGTGCTCCCCTGACAAAACAGCAGCTGTCCCTGTGACAGTGAGGACCCGAGCTCCTCCTCCAAGTTCGCATCAGGAAAACCAGCCAGGGCAAGCTTCTCCAAGAAAAGCAGCAGCAAACAATCTTCCCCTCCAGTTCTCCTTTAATGCCATTGGTAACAATCCTCAGGTGAGTCTTCCACGCCCAGAACCACGCTGACCCAGTTCAGCTGGGCGCTCCAAATGGACCAGTAGTTAACCCATCACACTGGGGTATTTAGGGCACCAACAAAGAGGATGTGAGTCTGACCCATGAAAGTGGGACTTCTATCACCAGTATAGCTCTTGGATTTCCCTTGTTCTGTCTGCAGAGGAAACGAATGTTTGCAAATCTCTGGGCCCTGTAATTGGAATAAATGTAGATGTCACCTTAGAGAGGGCATCAGTGACCTGTAACCATCAAGCTGTGTATTCACACAGCTTTCACTGAACACTGTCCCCAGAACCTTCCTGTTGGGGCCCTCGGAGAGAAGGGCGGCTGCAAGTTCCCCTGTGAACAGGCATGGCGGCCCTTCCATCCGGGGCACTCTCTAGCCTCAGTTTCATCATCACTACTGCAGAGGCTTTGGGGTGGGGGTACTGGTGCTCAGACACAGTGCGTGGCCTGGGATGGCTTGCGGCTGGAGGGTACCAATGTCTCTTGCCATCAGCCCTCACAGCCAGCAGACCTGCTTCTTTTTAGACAAAAAATAGAAAGAGTGGTGGGGGAAGCAGTTTTCCCCCTAAAGCTCTTCCGAGGCCATTTCGAGGGAAAAGGAGGATTCATTGGCTCCATTTCCTCCTGTTATTATCTGCTTGGCGCTGGGCAAACAGCACTGCTTTGTGATAGTGCTGTGGGTTAGATATTGACATAGAGGAGAGCAGGAACTCACAGCCTCAGATGAGTCACCTTGGGCAGGGCAGGCATCATGTTAACATCTGCATATGGACTCTCTGATTGTACATTAGCAGACACCAGGGGCGGGCGCTGGGGTGCCGAGGGACAAAGAGCCAGCAGGCGGGGTGTGCGCCGGATGGCAGGAGCTGGCAGAGTTGGGAAGACACTGGCTGCCAGGAATCCACAAAGCCCAGTGCTCACTCAAGTGCCCTAATAAATGCCGTCATTAATGCACTGACTCTATGTTGGCTCAGTGTCCATCCAGTGCACTCGGTGCTCCATCCTCACAATGTAAGAGCAGGTTTTCAGATACCAAAATAGAGGCTCTCGGGTTGGGGGGGGGGGTTTGCTGAAGAACAAGGCCGGAAGTGGCAGAGCCAGCTCACTCCATGGGCTGATCAAAGAGCATCCACAGCAGGTGACCTCATGCCCACCTGTTAGGGACTCAGGTCCCCGTGTCATCCCTTCCAGGTCTCATTCTCTGCTATGACTGGCTTTAAATATCCACCCTCAAACAGCAACAGCCAACAGGCAACTGTTCCCAGGAAACCTCTGGAACGATGATGGGTGAGGTCGCCAGAGCAGGGCCACTTCCGGGTATGGAAGGCTTGGGCTGCTTGTGAAGAGCCCAGGTGGGGGGAGGAGGTGGAGACCACACCCTGGACCCCAGGAACAGCATCTATGGGACAGCTGTCCAGCAGGGGCCAGCAGCTCGGGGAGGGGAGGGGACGGAGGAGAGTCTGGGACACCCACCCCCAAGCTCAGGGTGGCACCAGGCGCCTGCCTGTATGCTGGAAGGACCCTGGAGGCACGGCTTCTTACAGAAGGGCGATGAAGGCCACTCAAGGGACGAGGCGAGCAGGACTGGTGTGGGCTTCTGTCTCCTATGCAGACCAAGCGTTAGTACGGCAAGGGGACCCATGGTTATAACGACAGCGTCCTGGGCTTTATGGAGGCATTTCTGCTCCATAAACTCAGCGTGCTTTCATAGGCAGCTTCTCATTTCCTGCTCGCAAAGCCGGCTCCCAGGGCACATATAATTAGCATCATTTTATATCTGGAGAAGCTGGCTCCAGAGAGAAGGCAAGGCCCTGCTTACTCGCCCGGGGCTCCCCATCCTCTTGAAGTTGGTCCTGACCTCATCCCGCCCAAACCTTTGAACTCCGCAAGGCTTTGTCTTCGTTCGCTTCCTTATGGGCTCTGGGCTGGTCGGGCCTTTCTGCCTGCTCTCTGCCCTTTGAAAAGGGGTTAGTAATCCTGCCTTCTCTACCACTACGCTGGTCAACAGAAATACAACGTCCACTATCCGTATGAGCCACGTCTGTAGTTTTAAAATTTTCTAGTTTTTTTTTTAAACTTAAATGAAATTATTTGCAAAAAATTTTTTATTTCACAAGGTCCATCCAGAACATTATCATTTTGATTTGTAATCAATATTTTAAAATTAGCAACGGGGTGTTCTATACTATCTTAACTCACGGAGCCCATGAAGGCTGGCGTGTTTTACACTGCAGCACATCTCAACCCACGCTGCCACCTGCAGCCTGTGGCGACCGGACCGGGCCTCTCGGCCCTGGCAGGACTGTAAGGTTCTCTGAGGATCCGACGACCCAGCGGCTGCAAGGCACACGACACCGGTGAGCCCATATACGCGGCTGTTATATTCCGCTTCTCTCCTCTCGGATTCACACACACACAGAATTTTCCACATTTAAGAGGCTTCTACAAGGACCTGAGCCCAGAGCAGACATGTGACAAATCTGCACACAGCACTTTTCCTGGCTCCTCCCCAACCATCTCCCTCCCCGCAGAGGTGAAGAGCGCCCACCTGCCACCTCCGCAGTCCCTGCGGACAGCTGGCCACCATCACCTCCCGACCCTCCGCCCCTGCCCACCAGCACCTGCCCCAACCCGGGGGGGGGGGCGTCTGTATCCCCGCGCATTCCCACCCAGAACCCAAGGGAGCCAGGCTCTGGGTCCAGGACCCTGGCCGGGATATGGCCAGGGACGCAGGGCGGGACCCCGCTGACCACGCGGCTTCAATCGCGGGCTCCCCCCTCCGAAAGGGAGGCGAGGACGGGGTCCGGAGGCGGCCGCTCCCCTGTGCCAGGAACTGGCTCCCGGGCCGGTCTCGGGGTCCAGAGTGGGCGGGATGCAGGGGTCGCGCGCCCCTCGCCAGCGCCGGCCACGCGCGCGCGCGCGCCCGCACCTCCTGCCGCGCCCCGGCTCCCCCTCGCGGTGCCGCAGTCCCCGCCGCCCGCGCCCCGCCCCATGACGTCACCGTGGGCCGGGTATAAAAGGCGCAGCTGCGGGGTGGCCGTCGTCTCTGCCCTGCGAGCCCTCAGGTCTGTGCCGCGAGCACCCCTCCAGGGCCAGCGCCTTCACCGCTCCCAGCCGGCACCATGCGCGAGATCGTGCACATCCAGGCGGGCCAGTGCGGCAACCAGATCGGCGCCAAGGTGGGCGCGCCTTCCGGTGACCCTAGGGCGCGGCCGAGTCGGGGTGGGGCGGGGGCCTGGGGGGCCCCGGGAGCCCGGGTCGCTGTTCAGCGGCGGGGCGCCGGGAGGATCGAGGACCCGCCCGGGGCTTCGGCGCTGCAGCTGCGTCCTAGCCGGGGCCGTCAGTGCGCTCGGGGCTCGGCCTCCAGCGGGCGCACCTGCGGCGCGCAGCGTCTCGGGACTCGAGCCGGGCCAGCGCCCCGTGTATCCACACTGAAGTGCATTGGGGCATTTCTGCCCGTCGCTCGACTGGCAGACTGCAGTGTCATTGGGCTGGCACGTGTGACAGCGCTCCTCCGAGGGTCACACGGAGGGGGAGGCGAGGGAAATGCTTTTCGCTCGGCACCGTCTAGACAGCGTGACAGACGCGACCGTGCCCTTCCGGCTGCCAGGCGCAGGTGACGCAGCGGGTGGCCTTGAGTCCGGCCGCAGGGGGAGGCGGCGGCGGGCTCGCGCGGGCGTGGGCGGGCGCCGGGCAGGGACGCGGTCTCCGAGCGCCATGTTGCCCACCCGCCCCCACCCCCTTTCTCTCGCTCACAATGGAGCCGCGGCCTCGCGGGCGCCGGCCCTCTGCACTGCCGCCCAGCGCCCTCCTGCCCTTCCTGCCCGTGCCCGGCGGGGTCGGTGCCCGAGGCCAGTGCGTAGGTCAGGGGCAAAAAGCTGCGCGGGGTCTGTGCCGGGAGCCTCCGGGCGGGGCCGGAGGATCAGTCCAGTGGGACCGTCTGTCAGTGAGGATGCAGGGACGTGCAGGCCCGCGGGCAGGGACAGGGCCCCCAGCCCCCGCTTCCCGGAAGGGCTCTGCTGTGCCGCCCCCTCCTCCAGGGCCCCTCCCAGCCCTGCAGGCCTTGGCCCCAAGGTGGCAGGAGCTCTGCGGACGCCCAGCCCCT